GTGGGTGGGTGGGTGTGTCTGCTAGCACGCGCACGCGCGCGCACGTGTGAGTGTGTGTGTGTGTGTATGTGTGTTGCTGATGTACTTTGAAAGATTGCACTAGCAAGGGATCCACCTGCCCAGCCAAATTACAAACACGTACAGTATTTGCTAGGGGATAAAGTCAGCACGGCTTCTTCACTTCAAAAAACATGGCTCAGAGCACTCGCAACACACTGGTGCTCTCGCAAAATGCACAAAGACGACCTGTCTAGAAAGGGCAGGCGGCGCGCACCCCGCGCCGCACCCATCCGGCGGCTGCCTCACTGGGGCGGCTGCTTCAGCGAGTCCTGGACCCACGCCGCCTCGTCCTTCATCCGCTCGAGCCACCCCTTGTTCGCGTTGCCCTCTGGGTACGCCGTCTTGAGCACCTGCTCGACCTCCTTGTAGCTCGGCCGCGCCGCCAGCGACGCGAGCAGCTTCGGCGCCGCGCCGCCGCGCGGCGCGACGTACACGCGCCACTCGCCGGGGTGGGCGTACAGGATGCGCACCTCGTCGCCGGTGATGCGCTGCTGCTTGAGGCAGTAGGAGTCGACGAACGAGTCCACGAACTCGAGGCGCTGGCGCTTCCGGTCGCCAAAGCCAAAGTCGGACGTCAGCCCGGCTTGGACCTCCCACTGGGGGTGCGAAGCGGACGGGCCGGGGATGAGAGGGTCGGGGTGGGGGAGACGAGGCAGGACAAGGTGCAAAGATGTATGGGTTGTGCGCGGAAGAGAAGCACACAACGCAGCCGCGTCAATAGCGCCGGCAGGCTGCAAAAAAGCTCCGTATGGCTCTTGAAGCCGGGCGCTGGGGCGGGCTTGCCGGCTGTCCCCAGCCTCCGCAGGCCGACGCCGTGAGGCGCCCGTGGCTGGCGGCGGGTGCTCATCCGATGCTGCTGGGGACCCGCAACATGCGTGGACCCGCAGCGCCAACAAACTCCCTTGCATGGCCGTCATAAAACGCATTGCGAATACAGCGGCCGGCCATGCCGAACCAGTCGGCTTTGGGCAGCTCGGACTGTTGCCCACCTGTGGGTTGACGATCAGCAGCACCTTGGGAGAGCGCCCCGCCAGCTGCTGCAGCTTCTCCAGTGTGGGCGCTGTAGGGAACAGCACCGCAGCCTGGCAAAGGGCGGGACCAGGCGCGGTTGCGCAAGGACACGTCAAGGCGAGGGCTTAGTGCAGTGTGTGTGGCCAGTCGTGGCGCGTCTGCATGGTGGTCGCATGAGCTCCACCACTTGGTCACGGCAAGCTTCGCGCCTGCCGCGTGTAACAAACTAAAACTAGTTGGAAGGCTACGAGTGGTAGCTGCAGGCGGCTGCCCAGTAATCATAGGGAGCGCAACCTGCCGCTCACCAGGTTCTCGCCAGTCCAAGCACCGACTGGTTGGGGGCAGGCGGGGTGGCGGCGCGGAAGGCGGAGGTGAGCTGGGGCAATACGCAGTTGCATGTGCTGCGTTCACTGCCGCCTGCGAGACGCGCTGCCTGGGCAAGTTGCAGCTGCAAGCTTCGAACTGTGTGGTGGCCCTGATCCCTTGCCTTCAGCGCCATGGACGCAAAACCCCTCATCAGTGGTCGTAATGTTGCTAAGATCGAGGGGCCGGTCACTCTGCGCCACCCCACGGCTTGCCACCGCACCTCATGCGGCAAGGAGAGCACTAGGCACCAAGCGCAACCCCGGCGCAACCTCACGCCATCCCTGCCAAATGACCAAACCCAGGTTGGCAACCAAACAACGTCGCCCCACCCCAATGGCACACGCAGACGCGGCCATGGGGGGATTCGCACAAGGCCGCCCTTTGACGGACCCCTGCTGCTTTGCCGCGTCAAAGACCCGGCCGCATGCCCACGTCTCACCCGCGTCGCCGTCGTCCCAGATTTCGGCCGACAGCGGCCCTTTCAGGCCCTCCACCTGCTTCAGCGCGCGCAGCATCTGCTCCACCAGCGGCGCCGCGGCCTTGAACTGCTGCCTGATGCCACCGGGCCTGGCGGGGCGTGGGGCCGGGGCGAGCGGATGGCGGGGGCCCGAGCGAATTGATTGGCGATCAAGTGGGGGGAGGCGCGGGTGATTCGCATGATTTGGGGTCGCTTTGCTTTTTGCAAGACGTACAACACGTCAGCATGCTCTCCTCTCGGGCCAACGCAGCGGCGGGTTGCTTTGTGTTTTGCAGGGTTGGGGCAGGTGCGTGGTGCGCGACGCCGCGGGCCCATTCACCAGTCGTCCAGGTCTGTCGCCCCAATGAGCGGTAGCAGCAGCTCCACCCGCTGCCGCGTGATGCCGGCCTCCCATGCGCTCTGCACCGCCGCCACTGCCTGAGTAACCTGAGGGTAGGGGCGCGCAGAGCGCAGGCGCACATACGCGCGATCAGCTGGGCCGAATGGCCTCGGCGTCGTGATGCTGCACTTACAGAGTAAGTGGACATCACGTCTGAGCACCGCGAGCGAGCATCAGGATGCATCGGTTAAATGCAAGTGCTGCTTGCCGCAGCAGTGACGCCGCCTGCCTCACCTGCCGCTCAGGCGACATCGGAACGCTGCTCTGCTGCGTGGTGGGACTGCTAGATCCACCAGCGTTCGCATTCACCGTCACTCTTGACGCATGAGACGCACGACGCGCCGTGCTGCAGAACGCGCGCCTTGCATTCTGGATGGCGCAAGACCTGCCCGGGACAGAGCCCGCCGAGAAGGTGTTGCGCATTGTGCCTGAAAAAGTTCAACAACGCTGCTTTTGCTCAAGATCACGCAACCCCGCCAGGAAAGCCAGCGCTTTGGTTGTCCGCGGCAGCAAATTACGTGTTTAGCCGCCTTGATGGATTTTCAGAAGGCGGTTGCCTGGCATCGCATTGTTGCGGCGCCACCACCGCGCGGCTTCCATCGCACCAGCTCGCCCGAGTGCGCGTGCCACCCGCTGCCACAGGCAACGACTGTCCCCCTAGATATGACGCTTTGCAGCAATTGCTGGATAAAACATGTCTGGATCCTGCGCTTGGGCATTGCTGTAGCAGGCTGCTGTTTCCTGTACCACGCACAAGATGGCACTCGGTTGACCGCGTTGACCGCCATACTGTACTGCACGCGGGACAGCAGCCACCGCTCCGGGACAAGTGTATGAGAGGGACCATGACAGGCAATCTTGGTGGCGTGATTTTCAAATGGCGCGTATGTCGACCCGCTGGAGCAGCCCCTACATAAGCAGCCAATAACAATCATGGGTGAAGAAACCGAGCAAATGCAGAATTCTGCCAAGCTGGGTTTAAGACGCGACTGTCTTGACAAGCTCTGCAGCTGGTAGTTTGCAGACAGGTTCTCCCACACGCTACGTGATTGATCATGCCAGGCACCGCATGTGTGGCTATGGCTGACATGTGGTGTACTTGGACCAGCACGGTCAGATCATGTTGCAAATGTATGTGCACACACTGCATTATCATCAAAGCTGGACATGACCACCAAGCAAGAGGGTCGCGATAAGCAAGCTGAGGGCATTCTGCGCATGTTCCTCACTGAGGTTTTAATACGCAATGCACAGGACGGCATTTGGGGAACCGCATGAGGTGCTCTGGAATGCTATCCAAGCCGAATCAATGCTGTCTGATGACCCAACATTAGTTGAACCTGAAAAGTCCCGGAATCCCTGGCATGTGTCTGCGACAGCTTTGCCGTTTGCGTCGCTGCCAGACCACCACGTACGTGATGCTGACATCACTTGTGCGTCGGCCAAGGACATGGAAATGCTGCCCCCCATCAGGCTTGTAAAGTTGCGAGCCAGGACGGCGCCGCTCAACGACTCGATTGGCAGGCCGCTGGGGACGCCATACTTTGTGGGAAAATCGGCGATCTGGTCAGATGCAGACGTCGATAGGAATGCGCGCACCTGGACAAGCCCGGCCGGCCGGGCAGTGGAGGTGCTGCACAGCAAGTCGGCACCAAAACGGCCACTCAGGTCCCCGACCCCATTCGTCGAAACTGCTTGGTAGATGACTACCCGCGACCGCAGGTACTGCGCCGCAGGCACACCTCCCAGGCTGGCTGCGTTGATGTTGGCCAGGTCTGTGGTTTTCGCGTAGACGCTCAGGTCGATGGCTGACACGTTGGCCACGGTGGCTGCCAGGGCGGCAAGGCTGGTGTTGACCGATGCGATCGCGGCCGCGCCGGTGGTGACGCTGGACTTCAGGGACTCCACGGTGGCGTTGGCCAGGGAGACTGCCGCCGCATCTGCCGCCTGGGCCGCCTTTATGGTGGCCAGGGTCGTGTTGACGGCCAAGAGCTCCGTGCCGCAGAAGCACTGCTGCGGCGCAGACTTGAGCGCCGCGATGTCCTGAGCCACGGTCTGGTTCGCCGCCTCCAGCTGGGCCAGCTGCTGGGCGGTGCGCGTGTCGGCCGCTGCGAGGGCGGCGAGCTTCTGAGTGACAGCACTGAGGTCGGTGGTGTTGGCCGGGCTTGCTTGCAGCTTTTGCACGTTGGCAGTGAGCGTCGCGATCGTCGCCCTGAGAGCATCCATCTCGGTGCGCAGCGCCGCTGTCTGGTTGCTTCCTTGGCCGAGGGTGGCCTGCAGGGAGCTGGCCTGGGCGGCAGCGGCGGCGACCTTGGGCTCGAGGGCTGCCAGGTCACTCGACACTCTGTTGACCTGTGCAGCGGTAGCCACGCCGCAGCCATAGCGCAGCTTGGTGGGGTCCTGGGGGAGTGGACGCGTGCAGGTTGATCAGGATGGCAAGCAACCAGCTAGCAGTTGATTGCCAAACTGTTGAGTGGTAGGTGAACGTGCTGCTGATCGACCCCGAGCTGCCTGCACTTGTACACGTGCCGTCGCCCACAGACAAGCAAGTCACCACCGTGCAGTCGCACAAGTTTGCTGACACATCAGCGCTCGCCACTGGGTGTCTGGCAAAAACTCCACCCGTGCACGAAAAATCGTACCCACACGCATGCACGGGGCAGTACGTGCGCGTGAGTTTGTGCAGGCACGCACCTTGCTGTCAATCGTTGCGTTGGCGGGTGCCAGCAGCTCGCTGCACAGCTGGTCCATGAGGGCGGTCGGGCCGGCCTTGGAGGTGCATGACTTGGTCAGAGCCTTGACGGGCGCGCACTGCAGGGGTGGTGTGCAGTGAAAGCAGGGTTGGTTCGCGCCTGTGCCACAGATGCCGACACACTACGAGGCTGTAAGCCAGACACAGCTCGGGGCATGCAGGCAACTGTACACGTTTGCAAAGCACGGCCTCCACGACCATGCTGGGGCGTTGCAAGTGAAACTGGGTGCGCACAAGTGAAAGGTCCTGCATGGCACGCAGGCAGCACTCACCAGCGCCAGCTTTTGCTTCTTACGGG